TTGTCAATCAACTTTGGCCCAAAAACCTCCCGCTCACCAACATCGTCCCAACTCAAAGGAGAGCGGCACTTCCTCCCATATAATGCTCCAAAAGGGGCCATCCCAATGCTTGCCTGGAAGCTATTGTTGTATGCAAACTCCACCAAATGCAAGTGATCTTCCCACGACCCTTGGAAGTCAAGCATACAAGCTCTAAGCATATCCTTCAAAATCTAAATGGTCCTCTCTGACTGCCCATCAGTCTGAGGATGATAAGCTGTGCTAAAACTGAGACTGGTCCCTAGACTCGCCTGCAAACTCTTCCAGAACTCTGAAGTAAATTGGGTATCGCGATCCGAAACGATGCACACTGGAACTCCATGCAATCGCACGATCTCCTGCAATACGAGAGATTTACTAACACTCTTAGAAAGGAACTCATTGAAATATATAGAGATAAATATTTACCTCCATGTATCTCTGAGCAAGATGCTCCATCGACTGTCCTACTCGGAAAGGAATGAAGTGAGCCAATTTGGTTAATCGATCTACGATCATCCAAACAACGTCATTTTTTCTAGTGCTCCGAGGTAAGGCAGTAACGAAGTCCATGGTGACATGCTTCCACTTACATTCCGGAATAGGAAACGGCTGTAAAAGACCTGCGATGCGCTGATGCTCTGCTTTCACCTGCTAACATACAAGGCACTTAGCCACACTACGAGCCACATCTCTCTTCATACCAAGCCACCAAAAGTTCAGCTTCATATCCTTATATATCTTCGTACCTCCAGGGTGAATAGAATATGGTGAACTATGAGCTTCCCGCAATATCTTCTCTCGAACATCTCCTCTTGGTACGCAGATACGACTCCCAAATCGTAAGGATCCATCCTCATGAATAACAAATTCCGGTCGAAGACCAACCACTGCTAACTCTCTGCACTTCTGAAGAAATAGGTCACCTGCTTGAGCTGCCTTGATTCGCTCGACCAGTGTCAATTGAATCTGAAGATTCATCAAAGAAGCGGTGACTCCTGGAAGAAGAACTTCTATACTCATATCCCTTACTTCCTGCTAAAGTCTCCACTGAGCCGTGAGGGTCATGATTGTTGGCAAACGACTCTAAGCATCTGGTACCACATTGACCTTGCCAGTGTGATACTGAAGGTTAATGTCGTAATTCGCCATCAGCTCTAACCATCGGCGTTGCCTCATGTTGAGCTCCTTTTGAGTAAATATGTACTTCAAGCTCTTGTAGTCAGTGAACACCTTCACTTGGTCTCCCAACAGATAATGCCTCCAAAGCTTTAGGGCAAAAATCACAACTGCCAACTCCAAGTCATGGGTAGGATAATTCTGCTCATGCTTCTTCAACTGACGAGAAACATATGCTACCACATGACCATCCTGCTAAAGAACGCATACTAGACGCGTCACAGAACACCTCAAAGTTCCTGCTCTTATCTGGTATTGTCAAGACCGGGGCCGATATCAGTCGAGACTTTAGCTCCTCAAACGCCTGCTCACAAGCGTCGAACCAGACAAACTTAATATCCTTCCTCGTAAGTCATGTTATTAGTTCCACAATCTTTGAAAAATCTCTGATGAAGCGATGGTAGTAACCAGCTAATCCCAGGAAGCTCTTAATATCAGACACCGACTTAGGGGTAGGCCAATCCTTCACTGCAGATACCTTCTTCGGATCCACTAATATGCCGTCTCCTGACACCATGTGTCCTAGAAACACAATACGATCCAGCCAGAACTGGCACTTACTACACTTAGCAAATAGTCGATGCTCTCTCAAGGTCTTCAACACGTACCGCAAATGCTCTGCATGCTCCGCCTCACTCTTAGAGTACACCAAGATATCATCAATGTGACGCCCCTGGGTTCACACAAGGCTGCAGTCCGAGGTGAAACCAGGAATGTCAAACCTGCCATGCACCACACCGTGCAATAACATGTTTCACCATCATAATTACTATCTCTCTAGAGGAATCAACAATAGGTGTAGGTACAAAGCAAGTAAAAGGTTTTACAACAAATACTTGATGAAATGATAGAACATCAAATTAACACATCTCCTCAACCAAATAAACTGGAATACATAGTCAAAGTCTGAAATGATTAATAACAATATGGAGATCTCAACATGTCTCAAAGTACATAATATCTGATACAGGAAATAAGGCACACAGCCTTTACAACTCTAGAACATAAACCTCTTAAGTCTAAAAATGTCTCAAGTGGAGTACAAAATAAAATACATCTAATAAGAGGATAAATAGGCACTAGTAAGGGTCGCCCTCATCCTGCGATTCTCCGGGCTCCTGGCTCGTTACCTGAAAGGGGGAGGGACAACGAGCGTCAAAGCGCTAGCGAGCAACATCACAACCAACCCCAAGGGATAGGGCTTGTTGTATGAAAATACAGTTAATACATAATAATATAAAATCATTTGTCCTAACAACAATGGGTTTTGGTATTTAGGAATTTACAACACGAGCGTAGGTACGTCGAGCGAAATAATCCAAACAAGGAAACCCTCATGTATATACCTTGTATCTCAAATTGTAAATCCCTAAATACTAAACCTGAGGTCTAATACAAGAAACAATAAATAAAACAAATACAAACCCGTCTCTACCGATAAATGAAATCATGACAAGGCCACCACAAGTGTCATGCAAACTCACATGAGTGTCATGTCCGAAAACGATTAAGTGTCCAAAACATAGACTATATAAATTAAACGTCCAACCCATAGACTGCATGAAGTAAACGTCCAACTCATGGACTGAATATAAAAAACCCAAAATGGGCTCCACGCATTTGGACTTAAATCTAACCAATGTATGTCCCAACGCAATGAGGACTGAGTGAATGAGTTGTCCAACACCGAGGACTAACTGGAAGAGTGTCCAACACTCGGGGACTAATGGAATGACGTGTTCCAACACCGAGGACTGAATATTGATGTATAGTCCAACACGAGGACTTTACGTTGGATTATAGTCAACCGGGACTTCAATGGATTATAGTCCAACACGAGGATTGAATGAATGCATGTCCAACATGGCACTGTAAATAAAATACGTGTCAACACACTGGTAGACCGAAAATGATTAAGTAATCCAAACACATGATAACAGTAAGATATGCCCAACCATGGACTATAAGTAAAAGAGGTGCAATTGTCAAAGTATATGATGGAAGATATACATATCCTAAACTGCGCACGAGACCACTCCTGTCGATGTACGGAGTCTAAACTGTGTCAAAAGCTGTCACTCACATGTATCGACAAGTCACTTCATTTTAGTGTAGATGACAGTAATCGAGGCGACCCCTCGGACGTATAAAATGCACAACCAACACGAATATATGCACAAACAGTGCGGCGGTCGACCGCAGAGACCACTCCGGTCGACCGCGCATAGGGCAGAGGCATCCTGCTCGACAGAACGCCCTGCGGTCGACCGCCGCGTCACGCGCGGTCGACCGCGAAACGAACAGGGGCTTTTCCCAGGTTTCTGTTCTGCTTCGAAATCGATCCAAACAATACACCCATGCTTCCAAACAATATATTACACATTCTAATACATATGAATCATCATATAATAACTTCTAGCATGTAAACAAAATCATCACCAAGATCCCTAAACATATATAAACATGGTTTAAATATTATTTATTCAATAAAAACAGAAATTTACTCTTTTAAAACCATTTTCAGATCAGATCTCTTTAACCAAAATCGTTGGTGAGCATTTGAAAACTAAAATACTTGATTCTTACATCTCATATCATAAAGATCCATCTATCTACACAAAATAATGATTTAGGCTCAATAAACTTATTGAAATCATTAGAAAACTCGTAAAAACGTGGGTGAAGGGCTGGGGCGATGTCACTCGCCTGAGGGGGGTTGATGAACACCCAAAAACGATCCTCCTTCAATCTGAATCGCGAAACCCCACCGAAATCCTTCGAAACGCCCTAAAAACGCCAAAATCCGAGCTAGGGTTTGAGAGGAGAGAGAGGGGGGGGGGGGGCGGGGTTAAAAGAGGGTTCTGAGAGCTTCAAAACGAGCATATATAAGTGGGGGTAACAACCGGGTTTGGTATAAACAAAACCTGACCCGAAATTGAACTGGCAGAACCAGGTTCGCTGCGCGGTCGACCGCAGCGACCACGGCGGTCGACTGCGCAGGTTCCTGGGTCATTCTCAGACTGGGGTTCGGTGAAAAGGCTATAACTTTCTCATATGATGTCAGAATGAGGTGATCTAAGATTCGTTGGAAAGCTCTTGAAGAGACCTACAACTTTGGTCTTATACACATTTTCATATTCTAACTGAATCAGTGTGCAAAATATAGAAACTCTCAACTGGTCAAAATTCTCAGATTCTCACTATTTGCCTTTGTGCATGTTTTGTGTATTTACACTCATATATTCACAAATATACATTGAATTGATCTCAAATCAATTCCTATCATACTCAAATATCAAAATACATTATTTTCACTATATAATATATTTATAATTATTTATCACACTATATTCAAATTTTCGGGGTTTTACAATCAATAAAGACTTCCACAAACTTGTCCAGCACATCATAGAATACCAGATTCATCAGGTTCATGAATGTCATTGGTGCGTTAGTCACACCAAACGGCATCACTAAGAATTTATAATGTCCATATCTCATCTGGAACGCAATCTTGGGGACATCAGAATCCTTAACCTTCACTTGGTGATACCCGCTCTGGAAATCCAGCTTAGAAAATACTCTCGATCCTCCTAATTGATTGAAGATATCATCAATACAAGGAAGTGGATACTTATTCTTCACTGTCACCGCATTCAACTCCCGGTAGTCGATGCACATCCGCTTGGATCCATCCTTCTTCCCCACAAGCAACACAGGTGCTCCCCAGGCTGATACACTAGGTTGTATCAATCCTCTCTACAAAAGATCATCTAACTGAGTTCGAAGCTCGGCTAACTCAGTCAGGGGCATGCGATAAGGGGTTTTGGAGATCGGTGCAACTCCAGCTTCAAATCGATGGAAAACTCAATCGCTCGAACCGGTGGCAATTCGTAAATATCGTCGGGAAACATGTCTTCAAATTCTCGAACTACATCTGGTTTCTCAGATTCCACTTGCATTGCAGCTAACGTCGCCTTCTTTGGTCTAGCTCTATACTCCATAGGTCCGGCCGATGTACTGCCACTAAGGAACTCAAATCTCGGGTGATCTGGTATCTCGAATACTACGCTCCGACGACGACAATCAATAGTGGCAAAGAATGACCCCAACCAATCCATCCAAAATACTGCATCAAAACTCGGCAAATCAATCACCAGAAAGTCTGCAAAGAGTTCCCTCCCGCAGATAACCACAGGGCATGCTTCATAACCATTGGATGCTACTAAGACGCCACTGCCAGTGTTAAAATTCCAGCCCGTAGTCAGAAGAGATATAAGAAGAGAGTGGGCACTCGCAAATCAACGAGACAAGAAACAATGGGAGGCTCCAGAATCAAGGAGTGATAAAGCAGGAACGAAAAAAACAAGAACATTGCCTATTATAGGAAGATGTAAATGCAACTAACTTAGTATTCATAAACAATCCTATCATGATATCATTATGTGATGCTAAATAAGGAAGTTCATATGCAAATAAGACTAAGATGAATAATTCTTACCAGTGATAACCTGGTCGTTCGCCTCAGCTTCTATGACTGACATCATAAACATCTGTCGCCGAGGTTGTTGTCTGTGTGCCTCCTGATATAACTGTTATTGTTGGGGAAGTGGCCCTGCTCGAGGATAAGATCTATGCTGAGGTGGTGCTGCTGGGGCTGGTCGAGGTGGTGCTGCTGGGGCTGGTCGAGGTGGTGCTGGAAGAGCTGACCGAACTGGAGGTGGGGGCAAACGAGCCTGCTGCTGCTGAGGACAATCCTGACTGATATGACCCGAGATCCCACAAGTATAGCATAAACGATATGTCCGGCATGGCTACAATAGGAACACTTCACCGAAAGCTGGCTCTGAAACTGTACTCCAGGACGCTGATAAGGGTGAGCCTGATGAGATGGCTGATGCTGGGAATGCTGCTACCTATGCGAAGCCTGCTACTACTGTCTCAGAGGGGGACGCTCGATATTCTGGACCGGAGCTACTGGTGTCATGCTCTGAATCACGTGAGAGTCTTCAGGTTCCTTATGCATGCTCTCAATCTCGCGTGCTACATCTAGTATCGCATCATGGGTCGCCAAGGCTCTACCTGCCAGAGCCATCCTAATGTACTTGCCCAGACCCTTCTGAAACTGATGCCTCCTAATCGTAGGGTCTGTAACCAAGTGGGGAGCATATCGGCTCAAAGAAGAAAACCCGGCCTCGTACTCATCAACTATTCACCCTCCTTGCTTAAGCTTAACAAATCTTTGTAGGAGTTCATCCCGAGCTGACTGAGAAAAATATTTCCTGTTGAAGCGCTCGGTGAATGTCTCCCACAGGATGGGCCTCTCCAGATGAGTCTTCTTAGCTGCCCACCTTATCCGAGTGGTATCGGTGAGCTAAATATCCATGAGGTCCACCCACTCAGCATGGGCAATGCGGGTCACTGTGAGAATACAGTGACCTTGAGAAACTCCTCTGCTGCTAAAGGTCCTCGGCACCAGAAAAGGAAGGAGGCGGCATATATCAAAACTCTCTAACTCCAGACTCTGCGCGAGGGAGAGGCTGGTGTTGAGTCTCCCTGTGTAGCTGTCCAGCCAAGTGCTGCTAATTGGTGAGCAATCCCTAAATCATCGCCAGAAGTTGGTTTGGATCCACTTCGGGCTGCGAGGCACTGCTACTAGACGGGTTACTAAAACCTCGAGTACCCACCATGGTTCTGAAGGAAAATGAGGATCAAAGAATTAGGGTTAAAATCAAAACAATATATTAGAAAATAGGGGCTAAAACATAGTTAGCAAGATAATAGTATAAGAACTTAATTATAGTCTTACGGATGAAATATGATATGTATCTAAATTGTCTACTATATTCTTACTAGTGAGGACTCAGGACCGAGACCTGCATGGGCCACCACTAAAACCTGTCACGCCCCGCTTCCCAAAATACTCGGGAATCGGAACGGGAACAAGTCCGCGACGTATTAGATTGAGAAGAAATATACACTATTATTTTTTTCCTTTTTCTTTTCTTCTTAATCTAATACGCTAAGCGTCAAATACATAAATCTCAATCACAGATCCCCGATCACAATAGAAAGAATATAAAGACAATCTAGAATAAGAAATAAACATAACATCCATAGTAAATCATCCCAGACATAAAAATATAGGTCAAACATACCCTTATTACAAAAACGGTCCAACTAGGAATAAAAACACATAGTCTATGATAAAAGAAAAATACTAATAAAATAACTGAATCCATTATCAAACTAAGGACAATACTATAAAGAGTTCTAATGTTTATCAGCTACTACAGAAAAGAAAAACACGTCTAAGCTTCAGTTTATTTTTCCACTCCATCGGAAGGACATTCCGGTTGGGCATACACTGGCTCGGCTGCATCATCGAACTGAACCTATTCGTCTCCTAAGTCAGACGCACACCAGAGAAAACATGTGTACGTCAGTGTACATGGCACACGACAAGATCTCACATGAACAAATAAAACGGTCTAAGGACTCATGCTATAGCAATAACAATACTAACAAGAAAGACAATGATACATGCAACATGAAATCTAATGGTAACATACAGCTATATGATTACAATAACTGGGTCAAATACTAACCAACCTATAGCTCAGTGGTCCACATCTTACACAGAGTCAACGCTCTTGTCATCGGATAACTGGCTGTTCACAAATCCCCTACGTACATCCAGTCCCGCTACACATGCATCCAAGGGACTACATGTAAACCATTTTCTGCCTGGTCCGAACTCAAGTAAAACTCGGGTGACGAAACGATTCCACTGACTAAAGTGATGTACACACTTCACTTTAGCCCTACAAACCAACCCCAGTGGCGACACCAACCACTGGCGTGAGCCTGGAAGATACATCAACAGTCTTATCCGATCACCTGAACACTGACTTCCCCATCCCAACTCTTCTTGTTTTTTTAAGTTAACCATAAACTCATTAAAAACTCGGGTTCACCGCCTAACCAGTCAACACACTCACACATATCACTAAGTCTGTTCATGATGCACAGGGCTACTAAATCATGAACTACTAAGGTTCTCAATACGTCAACAGATCATGAAGATAGTATGGCATGTTAAACATAATTAAGCAGTTTTATGAAGCAGAAATGAGAACTTTAATGAACATGAAATGCATAAACAAAATACTATAGCATGAATACAATACATGAGGGGGCTTCATTATTATCTTACCACTGGGATGTCCGAACTTCTCATACAAATTATCCGTACTTACGTATTCTCTAAATAATAATACGGTAAAAAGAAAACTAGAAACCGATGTCGTTTTGCACATGAAATGTCCCGCTCTACAACGATCAGTCATACTATCATAATAATAATATTCTTTTTCCAAAATTATTCTTTAAAACTATTTCTCATTATAACTAATTTAAAATAAAAATATTTATGTAATATATATTTATATTAATTTCTTTCTACATGAAAAGTAATATTTTCCTATTTTATAAATTTTCCTTAATTAATTTCTTTTTGATGAAATTACGTAATTTCTAATTTAACACCTCACTTGTCATTTCAAAATAAGATTCTAAAATAATTCTTTTTCCTCGAAATAGATTCTTTAAAAAAAACATTTTTTAAAATAATTCTGTTACCAAATAAAATTCTTTTAATTTATGAAAACTATTGCGAAAATGCTACTCATCACACATCTATAATTCAAATCAACAACATTCACCAACGGCTCACGCAGTTAATTATAATACAACTAATCTACTCATATAGAATGTAAATATCGAAATAATAAAAAGGAGAGGTGAGATCTTACCTGCGACGCAGATCGGATCCGATGTGAGAAGCGGGGTTCCGGTGCGTCGAGCTGATGGCGACGCCGACGGCGCCGGTCGGCAGAGGAGCGCGACCTGGCTGTGACGACATGGCTCGGGCGACGAGGCTGCTGGGCCAGAGGCCGGTGTTCGGAGTTCGGAGTCGGGCTGTACGCACGAAAGGGTGAGGCTGAGCAGATCCACCATTGGATCTGAGTGGTGCAGCTTGCTGGAGTTTTGATTGCGGGGCTGACGGGGGAGGTGGGTATTGTCGATGCGGCAGAGACGGCGTCAGCGGCTGCTGTGACAGCTGCCGGGAGGGGATGGCCCTGCAGAGATGAGCACGCAGGAGCGTTCTAGGGGGTTCCAAGGCGCGCGCGCGGGTGAGGTCGAGCACGGAGGTAGGAGCGAGGCGATCTGCTACTGCGCTACAGCGTGAGTTTGGGGCGCAGAGGAGTAGTGCAGCGACGCCGCGCGTTGCGGTGAGCGCGATGATGAGCAGGTGGTGAGCGCTGAAAATTCGTGGAGGTGTCGGACGGAGAGAGCATGTGAAGGCGGCCGTGTTTGGGTTGCGGAAGACGAGAGATGACGGAGAGAAGAGAGAAAAAAAAATAGATGAGGCGCGGCTGAATTAAAATTAAAACGAGAGAGAGAGGGAATAATATATATAGGATTATAATTAGAGTTAGAGTTTAGGTATTTAACTAAAATAATTAAAATAATTATTACGGGTACTAAAAAAATTAACTAATTACACAATAATTATCTACAACTAAAAACGTACATGTTGTGCTATTACAACAATTGATGCGAAATAGTCAAAAAATACGCATATTGTATAATTAAACGAGAATAATTAATAAATAAGATATATTTACTTATTTTTTAAAATCAAATAATTATGGGATAATTATATACACAGTAAAACATACTAGTTGTTCTAATATGACAGCAGATACGTAATAATTAAAATAATATAATAATTTACACAAATAATACGTAATTAATAATTCAATATAATACACGAAATAATACGTAATAGTAACACTAATACAACGTATTATTTAAAATAATATGTAATAGTACTGATAATACAACAGATCAATTTTAGAAGATTTTACCACTCAAAATAAATTTATAGATATTAAAATCTATTATATAAATATAAAATTTGGATTTTAAATCATAGAAAATTGTAGAAAATTAACAAAAATACAAATACTATTCTAAAAATAATAACTAAATATTTTAAAATAATAGAAAACTATTTTAATTAGTATTAAATTTTACGGTCATTACACCTTAAAATCAGACTTCGTTTTGATCTTGAGAAGAGTACTTATCTCACTTTGTTGAGATATTTACTTCAGCTCTTGTTTCTTTTATGAAACAAGATTTACCGGATCTGATACTCGGTGGTCCACGAATCAAAGAGTCTCTGGCACAGGCAAAGTTCACACACAAGCAGCGATCGATAAACGATCATGCGTGTGTTTCTAGAAGATCCCCCTGTTTATTTTCATTGTGTAAGAAAGTCTTATAAAAAGACTTAACTTTCTTTTTTTGAATCTATAAGACGATAAACATGTAATGGATTTAGCAATGAAAAAGATTTCTGATGCAAACATCATCAGACAAATTTCTAGGATTTATTATAACATTAAAGGAATACTTGTCAACCCCAAAAAAGTGAAAGTCATCCAAGAGATGTCGCCTCCGAGAAATCTTAAAGAACTTAGAGGTCTACAAAGATGATAAGCATATATCCATAGGTTTATCGCCAACTTATCTGGGAAATGTCATCTATTTTAGAGATTTATAAAGAAAAGTGTTTCATTCGTCTGGGACGACACTTGCCAAGAAGCTTTCAACGAGATCAAGGGTTATCTCACAAAGACGTCGGTTCTAGCCAGACTAGTATTAAGTAAACCATTCCTAATCTATGTTAGAGTAATAGACCACTCTCTTGGAGCACTTCTTGCTCATAAAAATGATAATGT